CACTTTTCGCCAGAACAGACGCAGAGACCAAAGGACGTTAGTTAGTTTTACTCTTGGTTCCGTGTGTATTTCGGCATTTGTGCTATTCCTAAATTGTACATTGGTATATGTCCGTCCATGAAGCACCTCTGTTTTACTTTTGAAACGTCGAGAGCAGTGTCAACACCTTTTGCTAAAACAATACCATTATCTATCACACAGACGAGCTGGAAACCATTGTCTGGCAAATCCTTGCATATAATGTGTTGTCCACTTGACTTAAACTAGCACAAGTTATTAAGCTGTGCATTCCTGACATTTTCACTTACAAAAGCAGAGTTTATATGAATTTGCTTTTCAGGTATATAAAATATATATATTCGAATAGCTTCAACTCATACACTAGTGAAGCATAGTTAGCTTCACTAACCACACTACCCTCTAACTAAGTAGCTATGCAAGAAAGCAATTCAGCATTCAGGAAACTTTGTCTGCTAATGTCCTTTTGATGGAGATGAATACTATGTCTGACACGATTACATTCAAAGTCAAATTCTCGTTTAAGTTACACTACGTATTGGCAAGTGTTAGTTCGAATTTCATATTTTAAAATGTCGCAGTTTGCCTTTTGTCTGCAGTCTCCAATTTTGCTTAAATTATACATACGTTCAAAACATTTGAATGGCTGCTTTCCATGCCGTATACGTAATTTTTATTTTATTCCCTTTTTTTTTGTAATTTGAACAAAAGTTCTACCTGAATGGAATTTCAAATCATGTGAAAATAATCGTCCAAATGACAGGTAAAACGAATAGGTAGAGTTAAGCTGGAGCAGACTCTTCGTGAGTGCTAAGCTCCAGCGATGCAGCTCGAATGATGTGCTTCGATTACTCAGCATCTTCCATTGCTGCATTTGTTGCTACCACAAGCCCACAGACTGACAAGACTAAAGCATATAATGTTCTCGACACTACCACTCATACAATTTCATTGCCCATTTCAGATTTGTCGATGATTCTACATATTTTGCACGTTACGACTCATTTACTGTCATTTTCATGATACACTGAAGGGAGTTCAAATTGTTAAAAGTGAATCAACCAAAAAAAAAATGCTTAAAAATAAAAAACCCTGTATAATTTTTGGTTGTAGAAAATTTTCATAATGGTGAATGGTGTGGTCATAATACTTGTAGCTGGGTGAATAGCCTCAAGTGCAAGCGGAATATAAAAATAAAACTTCTTCCAACTCTCATAAATCAAATAAGATTGTGTAAATGTAAGCAGGATCTTTTTTACTAGCCGGAATATTTACTATTTAAAGCCTTGAAAACTTGCAATCGTTTCAGTCATAAGAAAAACTGTTTCATTACTTTCAGGTAACCACCAGGTAACGCCAACGATTTTTCAGCACCAAATGTTGAGATTGAATTATACCAAATCCTCTTTGGAAACTCTTTAGAAAAGTCTTATTGAAAAATAAAAAACAACTGTTACATATTGCAACTTGCAGTCCAACGAATTATATACCGACTGTAAGTTAATTAAATAATAATTCGAATATCTTCTAAAACCACTGATGATGAGTACTTGGCAATACTCGAAACAGTATTGTATGGTCTGACAAATTTCAATAAATTAACTAAAATTTTTGTTATTGTTTTTTCATTACTGTTCAAACCCTACTAATTTCTTTTCGTCATAAGAAGCGTCACATTCGTAAAACAAAAAATTAACATTAACTATGGCATATTTTAGTTTATTATATTATAAATATTTTATTATTCAATAAAATAAAAATGGTCTCAACAAGTACTTAAGATGAAACATACAAAAATTATTTTGTATAAAATATTTAGAGGATTTTATAGAATTAGTCGATTGCTTTACTTCTATAAAATCTTTTTTAAAAGCCTTAGTTTATGACATTTTCTTCATTCAGATAACGCTGTCTGTAGACAATGGGTGGTAGCTACTAAAACCCACAATTTTCTAATTGTCTACCTTGTAATCAAGGTACCGCTTCTAAGAACACTTTCAGTTTTTTCTTAAAATTATCTTAATCTCATCATTCATTCTCTTGCTCTAACCATTAAGTATAAAGTGATTTCATAGGTACAGCACAATTTTCAGCATATCGTTTATTCCAACCCACTTTAATACCTTCTATATACAAATGTTATACCACTGTCACCAAATCTGTGAATGATTTGTTGATGTTTGCTACATTTGTTGATGACATACTTAACAGCAAAAACAATGATCTTAAAATGCTCAGAGTTAGGTTTTACCCTCAGGCAAATTTATATATATATAAAGTATATACTAGTCATATATAACAATTATAGTCCCCCAAGTTTTTTATGTTCAAGAAATTTAGCTTTTAACCCAGTTAAAAAACAGTCCATCTATATTAATTTTTAATTTCTAATTATTTTTATATTACAAACAATTAAAAATTGCAACTATAAACCTAATCAGAAAAATTTCAGCGCTAGCCTAAGTTACTTTAGCTGTAATATTTTTTTCAGAGTAGCAAAAAAACACTCGCAACTCTCGAAAGAACACATGTGAAGCAACAAAAATGCTCTTAAAATCTTCAGAGTTAGGTTTTACTCCAAGGCAAATTTAAAAATTAGTCTATTGTGAGTGTTCACTGGAAATGTGTTGTAAAATTTGCTTTACTAATAAATTTAAAAATAAACAAATAAATTAATTTAAATAAATAAATTAAAGTATATAAGATAAAAATGTTAACCATTGTTCGTTTTGATATTTATTTGGTTTTCTTTTATTTAAATTAATTAATTTTTTGTGTTTACAATTTTTATATTTTATACTATATTTTACACAACACAACAAAACACATATGAAACATATGAGGTATTGTGAAAGTGATGCCAATTTCTTTCAACCAGACTTAATGCTGTTTTTTTACAACTCTGAAAGAAAAAAATTGCAACTATTACGTCTTGTTGCATACACTTAGCTCTAATTAAACGGTTTAGGACATTAATCTGCAAATATACGAGTACTACTCATATTCTGGATTATCGCAAATGAAATGAATAAATGCGTTAAGTGATTAGCATTGCGTAAAAAGCAGACTCAACGAGTAGTGTCACTTAACCTTTAAATAATATTATTTATTTAATTAATTAATTCGCTTACTTAATTGAAATTCTCCTTTATATATCTAATTGATTGATTTTTAACGTATTTAGAATAGAAAATCCACTGACCTCATATGGAATTTTTAATCATTTTATTTCCTTCACAAAAGTTCTATAAAACAATAATAAAAACGAATGGTGGCAATCTTCTAATTTTTCGATTTTGTGCTTCTGTTTTCCCGGAAACATTTTCCACCAAGTTTTCGCATATGTGAAAGTTGTTGGTTGCTCTCAACCAGAATTAAACTCGATTTGCAATAAATTCTACAATTGTGGTGTAACAATGTCACATTCATTTAAATTGTTATCCTTTACTTCCATTTCAATATGCATATTTCGAATTGAGAAAAGAAAATTATTCCTGTAATTTAGTTGGTATATGCATCCTTTTCTGTTCTTGTTTTACTCATGCAATTTATTATTTGTTGGATTATTTTCTTTGAGAATCCTTCTTCTGTTATTAACCACAACAGTCGTGTATGTTAGCAGCAGGACACCCGACCAGCAGGGTTCTAGATGTGCAAAAAAAATTCAACAAATTATTTTTTATTAAATGAAAGCGAAAACACATCTCCATAAAATGGGGATAATATCTTTAATTACAGATTTAAAAAATATTTTCAGTAATTTAATTTCATGAGTTACTGATAATTGTTACTAGAAATACTGATGTACGATTGTCAAGTCAAAATAATTTTTTTTATTCAAAATACTGACCATCAGACTCAGACTCTTTCGCTCGCCTTTCCGATAATTTATGAATACCATGCCAGGAAAGCTGTCTTTTTTTTTGCAAACCATTCATCGAACCATTTTGCAACTTCGACGAAATTGCTGAAGAGTACGAGTCCCATTGACGCCGAAGAGGTGATAATCAGATGGCGCCAGTTCTGAGTAATACGACGGGTTCGGAAGAATGTTCAATCGAAGCGATCTTAAAGTGCTTTTCACTGGTTTTGCTGTGTGAGACGGTGCATGCCGTGTTACAGAATCACTTTGGCATATCTTCTGGTCTATTGGTCCATTATATAATTTTTTAAATAAATTTATCAAACAGAAGTAGGATAGCAGACTACAGTATTGAGATTTGAAATTAAAAATTTTTATTTATTGTTTTTTAGTTGTCGGAGACCATTTGAGTTACTTTCTTTAATCGAATTGCTTGATTGTGAAAATGTTCATGAAATCGTTTTTTTTATATAAATTCTATCACTGCAGACTATCCCTAGAAATAAAACTCTGGTCTTATATCGCAATGGATCTTGATGGTCTATGCGTTGTCTTTTTGTTCTACTAGCACAGCCTAACGTAACTGGTTAAGTTCATCTAAACGAAATTAAATCTTCAATTTATGGAACTCTTACGTCTTGCCGTTTTCTGACCTTGAAAGAGTACATATACAGCTGGGAATACCTCATTAGTATTCAATTTTCAACAGAAGTTAAGCCACTGAGTTTAGTAACAAAAAACATCAGTCCGAAAATGTAGAAAAATATGAAATCTAATCAATGTCTATATTCTTCGCCCACGCAATATTCTGGTATCAGTAAGTATGAACTAAAATAAGTGACTCTTTTTCTGGGTGAATAATCGTGTTTAGAAATGTATTCGTATAAATATTAGAAATGTTTTTTTTTTAGATCGCTAGCTTTCAGCACAAATATCTAGACCCACAATGTAATACAATCTAGCGCACAATAGATCTTTTAGGTCGGGGTGCACAAATAGCCTATTTAAAAAAAAAAATACGATCTAAATTTTATCGTAGTAGTCATAAAATTTTTAAAAACTTGACATGAAGTATAGTTATAAATATATTAGTAAATATTTCATGTGTTTCAAAATAGTTTCCAAAAGTGTGTTATATATAATCATACGCTTCTCTTCCTACTACACTTTCATTACCTACAATAAAATGGCAAAAGAATTCATGGATCATTTTTTCGGAGAAACTCCAGTAAATTTTGATGATGTGCAAGATCATTCAACAATCAGAATACCATCATTGGGTAAAGTACTACCACCAGGACCTGATGCCAGTATTATAGAAGAGGCGCAACAGGAATTTGCAGTAATCCATTCTTCGCAGCTAAAATATTCATTCCACCGCTTTGTTGGAACAGTCTATCTAATAGGTGGTGCTGTTGGCTGTTTGACTGGTTTGTACAAGGGTATACGCGAAATTAATAAAAATAAATATACTGCCAAAATGCAAAGAACGGTACTCCTGAATCACGTATTAAAGGAAGGTTTCGTACAATCAAATACAATGGCTGTGATTGGAATAATTTACAGTGGCGTTTCTTTGTTGGTCAAACACATTCGCCCCGATTGCGATGGTGACTTCAATACAATTATTTCAGGTACAGCAACGGGTATGTTACTCAAGTCAACTGATGGTGCTACAAAATGTGTTCTAGGTGGAATTATCGGGATGTGCGTATCTGTTATATATAGGGTCTATACAAATTTTTGAGAATCTAAATCCTTAGAACAAAAGAAAGCATAAATGATATCACTTTGGAAGTTTCGATTTGTTCGGTAGTTATTTCTTGATATAAAATGTCTGGAAAAAATTTTTCATTAAATTATTTTATTTTGAGAGAAAAAAAAATGTAGTTTTTTAATTTTGTAGTTTTAGGACTTAAAGTTTAAAGATAGGTATTTAGAGGATAGTTATTTTTACTTGCAAGAAGACAAGGGTCGTAAGATCGTAAAATGAATCTAGAAACATTATTGTTACAATAATCATTTAAAAATGGGACAGCAATTTGTCCTATATGAAAAGTAGGGAGTATGCTCCACTGAGAGTTGAGGATAAGAGGGGGAGAGTGGAACTTGTGAAAATAAGAACAGCTTATAACAAATAAATAATGAAATACGACCACAAGCACTTTTACAATTACTCTATTAATCCCTTAAAAACATTGAAGGAAGTTCCCGAAAACACTTGGCATATAGTTTAATATGCTGTATCCATCTGGTGCATGAATGAACTCCTTTTCAAACTCCGTCATTGTATTTGCAATACTAACAGTACTATCGTAAGGTATTAAAGTTACTAATATAAAGGCTTTGTTCACAATACGGCAGTCTCAAAATTAATAATTGTCACAAAATATTCAGTTATGGATTCTATGGATTCTGAATTGCGTTCAAATTTCCAGCAAAAAACTTGAAGATAAACTTAACAGGACTGTAGCATCTGTTTGTAAGCTTAAAATTTTTCTGTCGCTTGCTATAAGATGTTTTAGAAATGTAAGCTATTTTAGATTAGAAGCAAACGAAGCTGTATGGAAACAACCTACCAAAGTGATCGCAACCTTAAACATTTGTCGGGACGTTCAATCTGAAATGATTTATGGATTGTTTGCAATTAAATAAAAATAATATAGGAAATATAATAAAATTCTGACAGGATACAATATACGTATCGGGTGTCAATAAGTTCTATTCTGTACAACCGAATGATTTAAAAAATATAACGAAAATATATGCATCGGGTCTTATTAAGTTCTATTTTGGAAAACCAAATGGTTTAAAAGTATAACATAGCAACTATGATAAAGAGAATGTGGAATCCATCACTCACTTTTAATGTGTTTGCCATGGACTATAGATGAAGTGACTCAAACATCAAGGAGATCGTGTGTTTAGTAGCCTATGAAGACAACAAAAATATACTTATTCGATTTTATTAAATTTAAAATAGAATAGTATTGTAATTTAACAATCATAAATAAAAATATAAATAATTAATTCAATTATTCTATTCTTGTTAATAAAACCAGATAAAATGTGCAAACATAAAAATCAAGTACGGCTTTGGGTCAGTTGGTTAAAGAGCGCTGACTCTGAGATTTAAATTTGGCAGGGCACGAGTTCGATAAATAATTATTTACGATTAATAAACGATTAAAAAATCGTATCGAGTGGAAGTTATTTGTTACAGCTCTATGCTCCTCCTAGAAGTTAAAGGATAAATATATAATAAATACAAGAATTATTTCCAAGACTACTGATAATTATATTTGGCGATACTCGAAACAGCTGTATGGTCATATGTATGAATATCTACAGCTGTATGAATATTTATTGTTGTAGTTTATTACTTCTCAAAAACCTGTTTATTAAACTCATAGTTTAGCTAACGTAAGAAGCTATAACAGAAACAATGCTCCATCCCTCCACGCAATTTTAAGGGGCATCGGAATAGGCAATCGTTATATTCAATTGTTACTGTTGATCTTCGCATTTATACACACATTTTAAAGTAATCTAAATTAAGCTATGAAGACCATAGAATACTATTATCTCATTATGTGATAAATATCAAAATGTACAACGGTTAATTAATTAATTTTTAGGTCACTTTAATTTATTTGAAATTGTTAAGGAACTTCACTTGAACATACTTAATCAAATTAATCTTCGGATTTTTAATCCATTTTTATTTTTTTTTCGTTTTTTGGACCGCTAAATTTTCCCTATGCTTTCCCTTTTACGCTTTTAAAATTCAATTATGAATCCAATTGTTCCATAAAGTTCCTTTATTATTCATTCAGCTTGTTTTCGCTTGGACTGCATGTAATTGGCCTGGATAAGATTAAATATCTGTTAAATGGTTTTAAATTGTTTTTGAATAATTTTCATTGTTCTATGCCTCCTTGCAATTCAGGCTCTTTCACTTATTTTTTTTTTTTTAATTTTCTATGTTCCTTTTTATTCGCTATATTTTTTTTTTATTTTTTTTTTGCATTTTGGAACAATGGGCAGTTGAAGTTGACAGAATCATAAAGTTTTCAAACGACTAACCTGACACATGCAAAAATATTCATTTCCATTCGAACATTTGCAAGTGAGTATAGCTGTAGTATACGCTTCAATTTTTTTTTTTTATTCACCACTTCCAATTGCTTAACGGTTTTTTTTTTTTTTGCATTTTTCTTTTCATTTTGATTATTTTTCGTTTTCTTGTTTGCAGTTTTTTATTTTTATTTTCGTTTTTTTTTTTTGTTCTTTTTATTGATGCAAATTGCTTTTTCCAATTAGGCCAATAAAACCTTGGGTTAAATGTCCATGGATATTTGATGTTGTGAGCAGTCCATAGGTTGTATTGGTGGTATATAGATATTTCGAAGTCCTTTTTTTTACTTTTACTAACATCAGCGTTACAACTGCAATTGCTGTTGTTGCTACTGCTGCTGCTGCTGCTATATATGCAAACCGTACGTGTAACTAACTCTATTAACGAACCGGAAACGGAAATACACATCCGCGGGCTGAGTTGAATTAAAACTTTTTGCAAAACTTAAAAGTGCGCATCACTTATTTTAACGTGCCCTTCTCTATCTTCATATACGGATATATATATATATATATATATATATTATATATATATATATATATTATATATATATATATATGTTGTATGTATATATATATATAAATATTATATGTATATATATATATATATATATATATATATATATATATGTTATATATATATTATATAAATATATTATATTGTATATGAGAATATATAGATTTATATAGATATAAGCTCCATATCCATAATATATATATCTATATACATATATATATATATATATATATATGTGTGTGTGTTTGATTATAGCCCTTTAAGTCTGCCCCTGTGTGTTGTATGCGTATATTTACACGATGTTCAGCAGGCAAATTAAAAAAAAAAAAATCAAATAAAGTGGAAATTGTGCCATAAAGCACACAGGACATATCGTAGCACATAGCGTAGCATGAGCCCCACTCTCCACTTGGTCAGTTAAGTTGTTAGAGATCCGTTGGTAGCCACAATTTTTAGTCTATTCACACCGACTCGAACCGAATTTTCGTTTTGCAAAAACTATTGAAGCTGTTTAACCATTTTTCGATTTTGGTGTTTTTTTACCCCCTCTCTCTCTCTCTCTGTCGTTTCATTTAATTCTGAATTCTTTTTTTATTGGCATAATTTTTTTGCAATTGTTATTCAGTTTTTCATTGCAAATGTTTATGGATTTTTATTTTCGATGTAAAATTTTTTGTATCTTTAGGATTTTTTAATGTTAAAACTGCTGCTGCGGTCCAACTTGCTGACAATGTTTCGTTTTTGAGTGGTTTATGTAGTACTATCCATTTAATCAGTTTGGGTGAGTCTGCCGTGGTACATGACACACTTTGATGACCAGATGTGATTGGATTGTAATTGACAATTTATCGTGTCAATCAGCATCGACTTTGGCAAACCGTTTTTTAATTAAGAACCGTACAAAATTTTCCAATTTACTTGCTAATGATGTAAAACTGTTAAAAAAATTTTAGAGCATTTTATGAAAGTTTAAAATTTACACGCCCAGCTTGTGAGGTTTGTGTAAATTTAATGCAATAATTCCCGAGTTAAATACTAAATGAACAACATTACTTAATTTTGACTTTTGGCTTGTGGAGAGTGTGATTAGTGGTAGCTTGATTTCAACTTATGGTAGATATTACAACCATTTGAATTGAAATACAATTGTTGAATTTTTTTTTTTTTTGACAGCAGGAGGAAACATCGAAAGTCACCGTGTTAGAATTGAGCCCACCAAACCACCTCTTAGTAAGGAATGGAGAAGCTTGTGAGCATTGTGAAAACTTCATTCCCGTCATCAGGGGAGAGAGGAAAAAAATAGTGTTAGTCAGTCAGAAAGCAATCCCTCATCGATGCAGTTTCTACATTTCGTACATTTTGCGTATATGTTTCGAAGATTACCATGTCTTACGGACTCATTCGATTGAGAGTTCTGCGCTCTTAGCATAGCCGCTCATTTAATTTTTTTAATCTTTTCTTATTTCTTCTCTTTTTGCGCTCTTTTATTTTAACTAAATTTAAATTTTTTCTTTAAATAAGTAGAAAAATATTTATAAGTTATAAAAAACTGTATTTTTATTTACTTTTTATAATAGTTTTTATCATTATATAAATTATAATTTTAAAATTAAATTAAAAATATTTTAAAAATTTTGTTATAAATTATTATCAATTATTATAATTTATTTATATTAAAAATAAATAAAAATTAATTAAATTAAACAATAAAACTTTAAAACCAATGAGTGTAATAAAAATAAAGTCTAACTCATTTTAGCCCTACGCACACCTCATGATATATCTCTGTACTGCTTTTATAACCGACACCCTATCGATTTGATTAATATTTAATAGAACATTTATTTATGTATATTAATTTAAAAAGATGAACAAATTTAAAATTCAATTCAAATTTCTTTTAATTAATCCAATATTTATTTAATTACAAAAAAAATGTAATGTAATGTGAAAAATATTAACAAAACAAAAAAAAAATACTACACAGTAATTATTCATACATTTTCTTCTTTTTATTTGGCACTACAGTCCAGTATGAACCTTGGCCTCTCTGACAATCTGTCTGCATCTGTCACTATCTTCTGCTACTCTCTTCCAATTCAGTACTCCAATCGTTCTTGCATCACCATTCACGTTCTCATCCCATCTTGTTCTTGGCCTACCTCTGTGCCTGGTTGTCATCGGCTTTGCGTTGAATATGCTGTTCGGCTTTAT